ATAGGAGATGTTAAGTCGAAAAGGTTGCTGTTTGCAGACGACCTTGTTTTATTAGCATCTTCTGAAACTGGTCTCCAGTGTTCCTTAGAAAGGTTCGCAGCCGAGTGCGAGATGACCGGCATGCGTGCGAACGCATCTAAAACGAAAAGCCTAGTGCTTTCTCGTTTTCCTGCCCGTTGCTCTCTTCAGATTAACAGAGAGGCAGTGGAGTAAGTGGAGAAGTTCAAATGCCTCGGAATTGATTTCCTAGTGATGGAAGATTTGAGGAAGAGATCGATGGACGGATTGGAGTAGCCAGTGGCGTTCCCGAACTACTGTAACTAAAGCAGAGCTGAGGCTGAAGACTAAATTCTCCATGCTCAAGTCGATCTTCATTCCAGTGCATACCTATGGTCACGATTCGTGGACCATGATTGAAGAAACTTCAATTCGGAAACAAGCAGCTAAAAAGGCATTCTGAGATGAATTTATTTGTTCACGCATTTCGACATGATCTGGAGTACAGATGTTTGAGAGATCGTTAGATTACAGCCGCTGTTTCTCTCTACTGAAAAGTTAAAGCTGTGATGGTTTGGGCAATAATAGAAATAACTATAAAACAAGGCGAAACACCTACTACTGGCCCAACGGCCTGGCGGAAGGCCCGCAAATTGCAAGAGTCTATTTGGGTAAGTCTGGACACACAGCTCTGGACTCGGTTCAAACTCTGATACATATTTAGGAATGTTAGAGACAATGACTGAGGCATATTTCTCCGCGACTTGAAAGGATAAGCTGCCATGAAAACTGACTGACTGACTTATGCGCAGCGGAAAAGAATTTGGAAACAGCTCCGACGTAACTTCGAAGCTTCCATTACCACATTTCCAGCAAAGCTGTTAGTGATTTAAACCGGCACAGAAAAATCTGACAATTTACAATCAACAGAAACAGTGCGGTACACAATGATACGTTATCATCGTCACAGTTCTACTATAAATAACGCGATTTCGAGCTGAAAAGCCTTCGTTTGTTTCTTTCGCTTCGATAAAAACTAACAGTTCTGCAATGAGACCATCGATATATCGACTGGTGCTATTTCTAATCAAGATCTAGTTGTTGCTTCATGAACTCAATGCATGCGCATTTTATCACGCAGATGCAAAAGAGTGGAGCGAAATGAGCTGGAAACGTTTCTTCATTTTATAAAAATAAGGAAATGTCCATTCGGCACCTATCCTCATATTCGTATAGAGCGATCTGTGATGCTCGATCGCAACAACTTATCGTCGAAAACAGTAAGGCTTCGAAGAGCTACGAATGACGGATAGTCAGAAAGATAATCATGATGCTCGATAGACAAAATCAAGTAACGAAGAGCAAAACAGTATTACCGCCACTTGGAGCGGCGAAAATCTGTGCAAAATATTGCAAATAATGCCATCGTCTCTGTAAACAAAACACAGGATGACGCTGATCATTGTTTTCGCATCAGAGGCAGACAAACGACGCTGAGCATGGAACGGGTAAATGAGTAAAGTAACGCAATTTTGACTGATTCAAGGCTTGCCGAATACCTTAGCAGTGAAACGATATGGGGATGTTAAAAAGCGATAAAAAATTAGTGAGAATATATAAATCAACATCGGAAATATGCGGAAGATAGGATGTAAGAAAACGTTTATTGATTCAATCCCTAAGCGAGCAAACGCCCAATATTCATACGGTACACAGGTACAAGGAATACATAGTACATGCCGCGCATTTATAGTGCAAACAACAGTGAAGATACAAGTTCTGTCGTCGGTTCCTATCATCAGTGGTACAGCAACCTTTAGCTTTTCTTGTCGAAAGCGAACGAACGTATGGTCAAACAGGTAGGGGCGCAGTGCACCCCATTGCATCACAGAAATAGTAAATCAGTCGTTGGCGTATTTCAGATCATCGTTTTCGCTGTCATAACAAAAAGAGTAGCGTTTATCGTCCCAAAACAATGTGGATGTGCAAAACAGCACTTCCCCGTATTCGGAATATACACACACCCGACAGCAGTCAGACTGCAAGTTGTGACAGTGGTTGCTGAACCATGAGTGCACAGCCGTTAGACGGCGCTGCGATTGCTCAGTCCATCAGTGACTTCTGCGGTGGTGCGTAGCGTAGCACTTGCGGATGGCCGCAGACTGCGATTGATCGATCAGCAGTTTGGAAGTGCGTGTCAGGAGCGTTCAACGTCGGTCTGAGGGGGAGGTACCCTCTGGGTCCGGATGACCACTCGACAGCGAGCAAGTTTTTGACGGAGACGAACCACACGACTGCGGCAAATGACACAACGAAGGGGCAGCTGGCGATCAGCCAAGGCTGTCTGCAAAAAAGCTGAGTAAAAGAAACAAACTTTTGAGAACTGCGTGGTGCATATACACAACGCATACCTGAATGGTCCTTATGAAGCATCGCCGGCAGAGCACCATGTGGCAGCACGGGAATGTCTGCATTGATGCCTTGCTGCTCATGCAAACGACGCACTACAACAGAACAACAACTAAGATGAATGCACACAACAACTAACAATGAACCAAGTGACGACGACGACTACGACAACAGGCAATAACGGAAAAAAGATATGCCATTCGTGCCATCGCGTGACAAAGCGTCGCGTCGATCAGCTGAATAGCGAGCGGGCGCGACGCTGAAAAAGTACAGACATGTTTCCTTTTTAACTTCCTACGTCGTTGGCCGCCGTAGGTCACAGACAGGAACAAATGGATGGGCAAACAGATGTAAATAATAAGACAGATACCACTGTAGATTGACTGCAGATGAACGCAGTAGAGAGCAAATGGGGTAATTATAAGATGCAGTCAAAAAGATCACTGTCTGAAGCCATACAAATCACTGCTGTACATACCTCTTCCTCGAGATGCGATGCCACCTCATCTGAATGCTGTTCGAGACGATTCAACAGAACGCCCTAGAAAAGCAAACAAAACGGTGAACATATACAATAACCAAACGGTAACAAGTTATTACTTACGATACTATATTCAAGTCGACTTAACTCATCCTGAGGTGGCGGCGCAGTGGTGGACGATGAGGAGACCGAGGAAACGCAGCGGTCAAGAAGACCGGCACGAGGAGCGCACAAACGGCGCCGAAACTTAGAACACAACCTCCAGAGACTCAGCAAATCAGCCAACAAAACCATGGTCCAGTCTTTACACTATTCTTCTGACTACCACCTGCCGTTCTCTATGCCTATTCTAACGAACGCCACACTAACACTGGTGTGTGGTATCTGCGATTCAGCGTTTTATACTCTGTGCATTGCCGCTGACCACGCGATCGATCAATCGATAACCGGCCCAGACAACAGTGCAAAAAGCCATTACAACCCCAGACACGCACGTCTAGACGTTCAATGGCCTGCACTGAAGACGACGCATCACGTGATGCCGCGTTCGTTCGACATCGCCTTACACGCCTGAGAGTCAGACTCAGAGTACGGTACGAAAAAGAGTATGTACTACGCTTCACACCCTTGTGGAATAGTCATCATGACGTTCTCAGTTGCTGTACTGAAGTGGAACCTAATAACACGAAGAGGAGTATATTGAAATAAACCGCCAATGCTTTATACAGTACTGCTTATTTTTCTCAATTTACGGAAAAGTATGGCCGAAAAAGTCTTTTCTGAGATAAAAGTATAAAGTCTTCTTATACTCACACAATAAAATTGACTGTTTCCTCTTTAAATATTTGAAATATACGAAATATTGGAATATAGTGTGCAATTAAACATTGATTGGGCATGCACTCAAAATCTAATGTAAAAAAATTATAGTTCTACTCAAAATGGTTCAACTACGCAGTAAGTAGAATGGTCAAACAGTTTATTGAGAAGCGCATACGGACGTTTCACTCCGTTTCAATGATTGCAGACAGTCATTTTGAGCAGCAATCTCAGCTATGACGAGCTTGCTGAAGCAATATTCTCGAAGTCACGGAATGAGTTACTCTACTGCAGCAACTGTTGCAGCTGCAGATCCATCCTTAGACTAATGCGGTTAAAACAATAACTTTCTGTTGTCCAGTTCCTCTAGTCATTACTTCGCAGGTCCAATTATTTCTCGTGATCTTCAAAACAAGGAATACATTCTCTCAGATCGTGCAATCTTGCTGGTATCTCATATAAGCACAGTTTCTTTAAAAGAACTAAATCGGCGGTTTGCCTGAAGCGCCGTCCATTATAGCTATCAGTACGGTTAAAACAGTCACGACTGTATGATAATCGTCGTGCGCGATCCTTCTAAAAGAAGCATCTCTGCAACAGGGAAGAGCAGTGCTATCAATGAAATTCTCGTCAGAACTAGACTCTCTCACTATATAGCTCCGCAATGCTTTACCAGAGTTATTAAAGATCCGCCAATATATGAACAGATAAGGACAATGACGGCTTGCCGGAGGACAACTGGATATTTCGGCATAGTCCATCTAAGAACCTGCTTCATGGTACTCTTGGACTTCCCCAAAGTTTTCAACAGGACAGCGAAGCAAGTAATATCTGTTCCTCTCCCATAACAAACCATTCGCTAAATGGGCACAAAAAGGCACAGCCGCAGAGAGCTCATGAAGCAGAAACAGAAGTTTCTTAATGAGGTTTACTCAGATATCGGAACTCCGGACTCTGCTCACACTCGTAGTTCCTGCTGTTTGTCTCAGAAAGCCCGTTTCATCTGGTTTTACCCCTGCAGTTTCTCATTCATGACCCACAGCTATTACCATAGTTAAGTGTCAGGATAAATATTCACCTTAACAAATAGAGATTATTTCTCGCAAACTCAGCTCTGCTGCAGTTACAATGCTTCAAGAGAGTTTACGAAAACACTGTTGTGCATCATTATTCGCCGGTCAATTTATTTATCTGATCTTCCATTAACAGTAGGCACAATTCCCACATACCTTGACTTCTCCAAATGATCACTGCTCCTCCGTTAATCCGTAAAACGCACTGTACTGGAAATCGAAAATGCACTAAGGCTTTGGTTTTGGTTTTTGATTCACAAGCATGTTTATCACATCGCACACAGCACCCTATTTCCAAAAAAGCTCTGGAATTAAACTTCGGAATGCCAGATGCCAGCAAAACAAAATCGTCTGCAAGGAGCGAACTTATCATCTCCTTATCTTCCATGCTGATATGCTCGTCGTTGACTGGCTGCGCGTCACTATCTCATGCGTGTACAATACGAACTGAAGAGGGACAGAATACACCCTTAACGGTGACAAGTACCAACGTTGTAAGGTCTCGATTCAACGCCATTTACTCTGACGCAATGCCTGCTATCAAGAAATAGTGATTGGATGCCGTGCAATCTGGTCATAGACTTCGTTTAGTTCTACGAAGCAAGGCAACCAGATGAACGAGCAAAAAAAATTTTTCAACTGCTTGGCGCAGGGTGAAGTGCTTCGCCCTAATCGAAGGGCATATCGTTCCATTTGGAGCTCGTAGTTAGCCGTTTCGCGGTAACTGTTTTCCAACATTTTCGCGTATACCTTTTTTGAAAGGAACGGTTAAATTGAATTTCCGAATCACTCCCCTTGAACTAACATATTTAACAAACTTGCTAAATTCCATTCTCCAATCTGCTGGTGCCTTTCCCTTAGTCATTGCAGTGTGACAGATTGGTGTTAGCTACAACCTAACTTGTTCGCGAAAGGCATTAATTACCTATTTTAAATTAGATTTATCCATTCCAACAACCCGTCACTTTTCAAGTCACTCTTTTAACAGCTTCCGCGAGTTCACCTGCTGTGAGATTAATATCCGATACTTGAGACACGTAACGCGAGTCTTTCTGCGCCTACTCCCGGATGAGAAGTTCCTCAGCGCTTTCTCTATAGCTGAAATTCATCATTTTTGTGGCTAACAAGACGTTGACTACTAGCTTCAATACACTTAGATCGGAGCATCAGCCAGAATGCTTTGTTTACCACCTGAAAATACGACTCCAGCACCAGTTCATATTTTCCCCAATTTCGTGTGTTTATTCATACCGCATTCGTATCGATGGCTTTATGCTGCCAAATCTCCTCTTGAATGCAGGCTATTTTTTGCTGACAGCCACTTGAATCTTTATTGTCCAAAAGGAAGTTCGCTCTCGATCAACAGGCGCAAGTCCATTTTTTAAACAACAACAGCCTTGAGTCATCCACTTTCAAAAAGCTTCTACTCATTTTCCCGTGAATCTTTATCATTGTTATCTGTCCAATGCTTGTTACTTTATCTTATCCGCAGCAGAAAGTGTTTCCCATTTGATTCTCTGAGTTTCTTTCTAAAAGTTAGGCATCATAAATCTTGGTTACTCTTCTGTTTTATCTCTTTCAGTCTTTTGGTAACAACGACGTAAGAATAACAATACTAGATCGTTCTGGCTCAAGGTCTTCTCAAGTGGTTACACCCTTTACACCGGCGAGTGGCAATGACAAGGGGTGACTAAGTGACAATCCTGCGCTTCTGGTATCACACACATCGGCACAGCGTCTCAAGTCAGAGGATTCGATTATCAAATCGTTTATCAACTTATGTGAACAAATTTCTCTATACCAGGTAAAGGCAGTTTCGATGCTGGAAGAATGTGTTCATTTTACATGATGAATTATTTGCACAAAAACGCAGAAACCTCGTCTGGTTTTTGTTAGAATTGCTATGCTCCGTTCCTCCCAATTACGCCTTATCACTCTTAAATGTTGCTGCCGATAAATAAATAGCATGTCGCCCATTAGGATTTCGGATTTCGAAGTCGGCACGTCGTTCAGAGCACCTCCCATTTCACCGAAAAGGACACTGATTCTTCTTCCATTTTGCATTCATATGTAGCAAAGCCATAGCTTCCCCTCCCAACAAGCCAAATCAGAGCATTGTCAGTTTTCCGGCTTAACAGGCTTCGATTCAATTACTCTGTGAGCCAGGTTGGATTCTACAACAGCTCCGACACCGACTTGAGCACGAGTTATAAAGTCTACCCTGACAAAACAGGGTTCCATTGCAGTGGTGCAGAATTTCAGTCTTGGGGTTTGCTTTACAAGAATCTAACTATTTACAGTTGGTAGTGTACCGTCTCACTACTGGAATTTCGCACAGTCCGTCTGAATGAGGATATGTACAATTTTCTGACTGTATGTTCCGAATGCTGGTGGAACTGACGCGCCGTAATGGCATCGCTCTGTATTCTACCTCCGTTCTGAACGAGTAGTGAGCCCTCTGATAATAATTAATCTTCGCATTGATCTACTTTGTTTACATCTCCGCGTAGATCACATATACAAGATGGCAATAAAGGAAAGCGTAGCCAATTAATTCTACTGAGCGCTTATTCTTTCTGGTGGCAGAAATAAACGCCAGACCGTGCTTCCAACGTGCGCCATTATCTGCCGGTTTGTTGGTTTGGCAGAAGATAACTCGAAAGTCCTTCGAGTCACTGGTTTGCTGTAGGATACTCTTAGCCATTCCCGAAATCTTCGATCGGTCCGTTGAGCAAGTAGCATCTGTTCCCTTTCTGAAAACATTCAAAGGACTTCTACAAACCGTAGCATCTATTACTTCTCAATCTGTATGAGCAGCCTAATCTGCGACACATCAAGTCTCTTTCACTGTCTGTCTCCCTATCTTTCGCTCAGATACCTAAACTTCGGATCATGTCGAAGCGAGTAGGCTCAGCGATTCCTCCCAGAAAGTCATTTTTTTTATCGCAGTTCGGAATTTTTCAGTCATGAGCATCGTTTATTACTGGGGATGACGATGTTCTTGAAAATAGATAGCTTAGTCTACAGACCCATTTCTGCCTTTGTTACAAAGTATTAGGCAAGTTCCTGCAGAACGCCACTGGCAGTTCCAATTCTGTGGTCTATTTCGTTCATTTTTTATAACCGGTGAACTTTTAAGAGTTAGTGAATTTTTCTACCTGCATAATTGCTAGTCTGTTTATGTGCAAAACGCAACGGACAGGAGAACAAAATACTACTAATCTTTAAGTTTAAAATATGCTTACATGCATGCCGACCACGCCGGGTTCGGTAGGGAACATTTCCAGGGAGCGCTGGAGATTAGTTTCAGAAAATGCAAATAAAACAAGGCCGTCTGCAAGCAGCAACGTCATTGTTTTTGTATATCGTACGCTAGTTCACATGTCGCCCTAGCTGCACCTGACTATCCAATCCAAGTAGCGCGAAATAAAAAATTTTGTTTTACTTGTTTCATTGTTTTAGTTTATTCTTCGAATTAGTACCAATAACGATTGCACCATGTTCGTTCGTTAGTTTCATTTTTGGAAGATCAAGGTTCACAGGTGGAAATGTTAACCCGGACTAACTGTAAATAAGAAGCTACGCAATCACCGACACAAACTTTTATCATATCGTCGTTCTAATGGCTAGAACATCCTTATGAAGCATTGGTAATCGGTCCTTTCGCTCTTTTGTTTTACGATCTGCTGCAGCTGGTCACACTATTCTGCAACTCCCTAAATTGCTTTGCGATTTAGTTGCTCTTCGTATTACCATTTATCATGGGTTTCTTGCAGGTATCGATCCGCACCTGCAGTGGAGTTGAAGCGCACTGCTTTCAACAGAAATCTTTGTGCATTTTCAAGGTATCCTTTTTCTGCGCTTGTCGCTCAATCCATCTGTACCAAACGGATCAATCGCTTTTTCTTAATAATAATCCTGATCTTAGGCTTTATGACAAGTTTTGTACGTTTCGTTCAGATGTAGGGCGAATCTCAAATTTCGCTTCGACTTACGCCTTGAACTGCTGTTCAGTATTTCGTTTCTTTAGATAATGTTTCATTTGATGAATCTGTTGCATCTTCATTTCGTGGCATGGTCTCATCATTAATAAATCTTGGTCGCTTCCTACGCTAGTTTTTATGAACTTTATGGTCAAGCTTCTGAGGCTACGTGTTTTAAAAAAGATGGAAAACAGGAAAAATCAATCCTTCAGATGCATACACTGTAAGTCAAAGATCTTACATTCGCCATTCACCCTATCGTTGGCACCAGTCCAAACGCGGGTAGTTCTGATCATTAGACTATATTATTGTTATAAGACTTTCTTTAGCTAGCCTTTTCCACACTGAAGAACGGCAAAATATCATGGCTTCGTACAAGACTCTGTCCTCTTTCATTTTCTTCGTAACATATTCATTAATATAACATCGCCAGAGCCTCGCGGCATAAAATACAGTTGACCAGTGCATAGTTTCTGAGGTTATCAGAAGACGTGTTAACTGCGAGAACGGCCTTTCCATGATGTAAAAATTCCTTTCGTCCAATAACCGAAAGTCAGCATTTCTGAAACACATGAACGGAGGTTTCATGCGAAACCCTAAAATGGATTCGCTGCTAAACATTTCCAGTCAAGTTAGCAATGCAGATACCCTGCTAGTAAAACACGTTAAACATCTAGAAATTATCCAGCGTACCAACTTTACTTGGCATGAAAACACTGCTTCATATTAATCCGTCGTTGCCAGCGCTTTCCCATATTCGAAGGTTGCGGAATCTTCAAGCACCAACAAAGAGAGTAATATTTCATTTCCTAACATGTAGTATTCCAATGGCCAGGTTTTCGTTTAAATATGTTCATACAAAAGATGATGCACACACTGAAAGCAGTGTCAGAAGCAGTTAAAACATCTAGACCTTAAAATTTCGGAATCAGTCAGTAGTCCTCCACAGTCTAATGATGAGAAGCATACTGAACAATGCTTATTTAACTCTCCCAGCGTCTGTCTCGTAGAACTTCAACAAAATTTGTAAAGTGCACATTTCAACAAGAACAGAACAATTATTTCATCATCTATTCTTCGAGATTCAGTAGCTATTAAATAGCGTAAATTAACTTCGCTGCCCATTTTTTGTCAGAAAAGACATTGCCCCTAGAAGTAACTCTGTCGTGATAATTTGTTATTTAATTTATTAAATTACTACTTGCAGTGTAGACGCTGACTTCTCTTAATTACACGAATGACAAACAACGCTAAATTTCTGCAGCTGTCATTTTAAAGTAAAAGACTACACTAACGATGTCAGATATTTGCATTTTTTCATGTTTGCATTGCAAAACAATAAAAAATGAAATTTCATTTGAAGAATCCAAATTTCATTGTTTCAAGGACAGAAATTACGCCAGAATTCACAAATGCAGCCAAATCTGAACACAGCACACAGCGGCAGGTCGAAATCAAAACATCGTTTGTTCAGGGCCAGGCTTGGCACTGAAATTTAAGCCACCATCTGTAGCAGCAACAGCAGTGGCATCCTGGATGACCAATCTGGAGGCAGATCTTGATGGCGAGTTGCTTATGCTTGGCACACGACTAACGTTTCGACTAGAATACAGCAGTTTTGTACGAGACTCAGAGACTGCGATGCTTTTAGGAGCAGTGTCAGGAGAACGGCAGCAACTCCATCCACAGTTGGGAAAAAGAAATAATTTCTGGGTACGTGTAATGACAGATGAAATTATATGGTCAAGCGGCTCCAAAGAGTGCATCCATTTTGGCAGACGGTTCCAGTCTCGCAAACAGATCGGTAGATAGCGTGGCATTTTGTGCTGAAAAATGTTTATGACAATAACCAGCAACAAAAGAAGAGCGCACGGTGTGCCAACTGCGACTAACACATGAGTTCCTGCCATAGACAATCCGAAAATGACTGCTGGAAACAGAAAAAACATTACCAATATGTAGAGTACTGCAATCCAACGATATTTTGCAGTTTTATTACCAAGAAGCTTCGCCAAACTAATCGGCAAATTCCTCATGAAGGGAACCGGGTAAAATAGCAGGATTCCAGTAATATTGAAAAAAAGGTGGCACATCGAAACTTGCAGGCCATTAGCGAGCGTATGTGGGGGGCTGGCTAAAGCTGCCAAAATACTTGTGAAAGTCGTACCGACATTTGCACCCAAAGTCAGTGGGTACATTCTTTCAACCGAAAGCACTCCAAGACCGACCAAGGGAGTAAGAGCTGAAGTGAACACACTTGAAGACTGGACAAGTATTGTCAGTACAGCGCCAACCAAAATAGCGAGATACCTAAAATAGTGTACTAAGTAAATGAACGATAGAAAGCAAAGAAAATATCAACAATAACAAAGAAACACGTAACGTAGGTAATGCAAAAGAATTAAAGCAAAAACTGATTAACCGCCTAGTGAAAAGGAAGAAAATGTAGCAAACAATCTGAAGGTCTGAAGGGAGACGAACAGCGTAGTGAAAATGATTCTAAATTGACCCAAGTAACGCCAAAAACGGAACGACAAAATAATAGGTAGAAACGAAAAAACGAAGGGCAGCAAATCTTATCAGTATCTGGGGCAAATTCATTGTATCAGTTCACAGAACAACAATTGATAAACCAGCAATTATAAAACGATCAAACGTCGACTGATCTATCAAATTCTAATTAAGAAAGATTGGTGTGAAGACATTATAAGGAAACTGCCATTGCAACAACGCTAACGAGGAAGTCAAAAATTAAAAATTTTATATTAAAACATTTAACAAATATGCACAGAAGGAGATACCGATTAGTTGTCTGACTGAACAGTCATATGGTCCTTGATTCACTATTTACGTCAAC